ATTTACTATTTTCTCAAAATTAATGTACATTTAAATGGGCATATGTATCTTCTGCTTTTGAAAGGTAAAGCACTTGAAGTTGACTGAATTAATCCTCTAATAGTAAGCCCTTGTGTAAATTTTTGCCACTCTCACATTGATTTATTTTGGGCGTTTCAGTTTCTAACAATTTCTGTACATTGGTAGTTGGTAAGCTATTGTGTCCTACTTTTCTAGATAAATGGTGACTCAACATCAAGTAAATCTCAGTTTAAAGCAAAGCATCAGAAGTTAAAATGCTAGTATATAATCAATTCTCTATATGGTACTGAGTGATTTATCTTTTCTAGTAATCAGTAGCTACTTTCTTTTTTTATTCCATGCAGATTATTGGGTATATTTTGGAAGTGCGCCAGAATTGGTAAGGATCTATCTGTAATTTCTCTCCACTTCTTCAGCTGTAAATTGTTGGCCAATTTACTTATGTTATAGTCACACAAATTAAATGTCAGTTTTAAAAGTGCAGGCTTCCCAATTATATGCATTTTTTTGATAGTTTGTAGAGTTCCACCAAAATCTTTCCCTTACACTATTTAAAACTTGAAGATATCTGATAATACTTTATTAGCAGGGAGATGGAAAATACAACAAAAACCTCTCTAATTCAGATATCATACACTGTGCATTTCTGGCTTTGAGATTTTGGATAAATATGTATGGTTTTATGCACACATACTTACAGAGCATGCTATTCTCTATAATGTGTACCATTTTGATAACTGAGTATTAGTTTCCCATTTAATGAAAGGCTTGCTGAGCAACCATCTAATTGCCCTATGCTAAGTCCTAGAATGTTATTTGCTGTTTTTAGAAAACATGAACTGTTTTGTCTATTGAAACCCTGTATGTGGTCATAGTTGAGTTTTGTCCTAATTGATGAAAGTTAAGATAAATGTGTGGATACCTTCTAACTTTTTTCATAACAGGATTAATAGCATCTTAAGTGTGTTTCTGGCTAATGATATATACTCTTGTTCCCTACTACTATGTATATAATAACATTTAATATAGTGCCCAGCACATAATACTCTCAAATGATTGGTAAGTAAATGAATTAAAATGTATTTATTTTATTGCTGTAATTCACCAATATTCTTTTTAATTATCAAAGAATAGTTGATGTATAATATTATATGATACAGGTGTACAACATAGTGATTCACAATTTTTAAAGTTTATATTCCATTTATAGTTATTTTAAAATATTGGCAATATTCAGCAGTGCTAATTATTAGGGAAATGCAAATGAAAACCACAATGAGGTGTCACCTCACTCTAGTTAGAATGGCCGTCATTAAAAAGTCCATGAGCAATAAATGCTGGAGAGGGTGTGCAGAAAAGGGAACCCTCCTACACTGCTGGTGAGAATGTAGTTTGCTGCAGCTATTATGGAAAACAGTATGGAAATTCTTTAAACTTAAAGTAGACTTACCATATGATCCAGCAGCAACACTCTTGTGCATATATCCAGAAAAGGTGAAAACTATTTAGAAAAGATCCATGTACCCCAGTATTCATAGCAGCACTATTTACAATAAGTATCCATTAACAGATGAAAGGTTAAAGATGTGGTGTATATGTACATACATACACATACACACACAATAGATTATTACTCACCCATAAAAAAGAATGAAATAATGCCATTTACAGCAACATGGATGGACCTAGAGATTCATACTAAGTGAATTAAGTCAGAGAAGGACAAATCTCATTTAAAAACAGAAGTAAACTCACAGACAGAAAATAAACTGATGGTTACTAAAGGGGAAAGTAGGGGAAGGGATAACTTAGGAATTTGGGATTAACAAATATACATTACTATAAATAAAATATCTAAACAATAAGAACCTACTGTATAGCACAGGGAACTATATTCAATATCTTGTAATAACCTATAATGAAAAGATCTCTAAAAGTATATATATACCTACATGTATACATATATATGACTGAATCACTTTGCTGTACATCTGAAACATTGTAAATCAACTGAAAGTCAGTTTAAAAAAAAGAACACAATAGAAGAGCAAGACAATTTGAGGGAATAGAGAGAATTATCACTGGATTAGTGTAATACTAACATTAAGTTACTAACTCATGAATAAAATATTAAGGGATTTTAGATCCATTTTATGTAATAAATTAGAAAAAGGTATACAACTCCAGTAGCAAACTCAGGGGATCCTTTTGTTCACAATTGTTACTTGAAAGTATGGCTAAAATTTCAGACATCTACTTTGTATCTTTCCTAATGATATCCTGTATTACTATCTATTTTTATGTCTAATTATAAATTCTGCCTTTTCTGTTTTTGCTTGCTCATTGATTTTCATTTTCCTTTCGACCGTATGAATACCATAGGTTAAATTGTTCACTTAAAGTATTCATTCTTGCCAATTATGTGAAAAGCATTAGCTTTTCCTTTTGGCAAAGTGCTTTAGAAAATGTTGATGCTGGTGTGCCGCTTTCTCAACCACATGCTCCTCTCTTATCTTGACATAGAATATATCCACAAAGAAAGGATACAATTTTAATGGGGAAAGGCCCAGCCAAATCATCTTATCATGTTACACATCACATTACAGCAACTGTTTCACATTCACTTAGAGTCCTAAGACCAGACAAGAAATAAAATTTTTACCCAAGTTCAACCAAAGATGTTTAGCTCTACCACATGGCAACCTCTTTTAAGAAAATTAAAAACAGGAAAATGAAACCCACATGGAAATCATAGCATTCTAATCTGGAGGATGAAGAAGAGAAGGACTTCCTCAAAAATTAATTTTCAGCAGATGGAAAATTCTTAAGACAGTATTAATTTCTTTTTTTGGTGTTTAAGAAGACTGTATTAGACAATAAGAGTATCTAATCCTAAAGACAGGGACAGGCTTCCTTATGAAATCCACCTGACATTTTTGTCTGAATGTTTTTTGTGGTGGTGGTTTTATTGGATAACTTGAGGTTTTTACTCTGAAAAAATTAGCATTGCTTAAAAAAAAAAAAAGAGGAACCACAGTACTTTTTGTTTCAAAAGTTTTTTTTTTCCAGTTGAGATAGTATTGTGAAAACACTATTGTCTCACATTCTAGATTTTCCTTTAGCTGGAAGGCAGTCCATTAAATGTTTATGGACAGAAAAATACTATAAAAACACCAAGTATTTATTGTATCTGTACGTGTATAATATCTTCTGTGAATATTGTCATTGAACAGATACAAAGACACAAACTTACTATGACTTTGTGATCTCAATGAGGAACCTCCGAAAATGAAAAGCACCTTGAAGATTTTAGTTGATAAGTGTGGTCAAGATTGACACTTTCCAGAAGTAGTTAACTGAATTTGCTAAGTGAAATAAGGAACTTAATTACTGGGAAAGAGATTATTGTAAACATCATAGAAAAACAGGTGAGGGGAGAGTCAACCATCTCTATAAAGGACACCAGGTACACACCCAGCATTATTTCTAGAAGTAGCACATCACTCTTCCTTATGTGCCCTCAAGGCAGCATGAAAATGTTCGGTGCTTTGTACAGCCTTGCAATTACTGAAGAAACAGGAAAGAACAAGATGAGTTTGAGCTAACTTACAATCACAGAATCTCTTTGCAAGACAGTTTCACAAGCCAACTCCGT